CTAATATTAATATCTTTTTTCAATTTTTTACCATATTTTCATATTTATATTTTATTTAAAAATAAAAAGATTACGTTTTCTTAAAACCACATAAAACCGTATTATAACATCGATTGAGACAAAGAAAAAACGAAACATTAAAATCGAAATGTATCTCGCTATATTGTGCGAGTTTCCTTCTAGTTATATTATAAAACATGCTAAACGGTCATTATTGAATTTTTAAGAGGTATAATTTTGATCCATTATGTATAATTTTTGAACTTTTACAACCTTCATATTCAACACGATAATTAAAAATAAAATAAATTGCTTAAACTCACATAGTAATTTAAATATTTAATACATCATGTCCATTTACATAGTTCTATTTGGATAAGTTTGTCTTATAATTTTTTCTTGTTTATAAAGTATAATACTATGATATTTTAATGTTTGTCAATACCGTTGATCTTTCAAAGATGAGATAAAGACTGGAGTTTTCAAAACAAAGTCCTTAAATTCTTTTGAGATTTAAAGATGAACTATTTCTTAAAAAAAACCCTCTATTTGATGGGTAATTTTTATAGACTTCAACCTTCGTATTTCTCATTTAGTTATCAAAGTATCATTTTATTTGTAAACAACGTCATAATTTAAAGGGTGAAACATTTTATAAATAATTAATTAATTTTTTATTTACAAAAAAGTTTTATATTTAGCTACATTACATCAGGTACAAAACTAGTATATATATATATATAAAAGGAGGCCCGAGCCATCAGTGAGATACCACTCTATAAGAGCTAGAATTCTAATCTTGTGTCATGAGGTAATACATCGGTAGGGAGCGTTCCGCCTTAGATTTAAAATCACTGCTTATATACCATGTATTGGCCATCAATTCGATCGGGCACTCGCCATCTATTTTCATTGTTCAAATCTATCGTGGGGGTGTGGAGGATTTTGATCCTTTTGTTCTGGGAGGAATAGCCTCATTATTATAAAGTTGCTCCAAAATTGGCTTGGTTTATGAATATACCATATCAATTCGTTATGTATGAAGATGAGCCCCCTTTCTCCTCGGTCCACAGAGAGACATTGCAATTGGGTCGTTGTTTGTTTGAAAATTTCCCGAAAAGCTAATCATAGAAGGTTCCTTATGAAGTTTCCATTACGTACATGCCAGATCATCCGCCGATTCTTCAGCACCAGTTGGTTCGAACCTCCATTTAGTTTCACCCAAGTTTCATTCTGACATAATTGACTGCATTGATCTCGGTAGGTACACCAAAAGAGGGATTCTAATTGTAAGATATCTAATGAAACCGTCGCTGGAATTGAGGGAGAAGAAATAAACTAACCAAACCATGGATAAATCCAAACGAACTTTTCCCGACTTTTGGAGAGATATGTGGGTTCAGGTATATATATATATATATATATATATATATTTTTTTTTTTTCAAACCCAACCTGAACCCAAATATCCTCCAAAAAGTCGGGTTTCAAATTTTCGGAATTCCAACCGAGTTTTGCACAAACACCTTATTTCCATTCGGGATCAGTTTGAATTTTCGGATCATTCGGATTTTACATACCCCTAATAGTAAGTGGTACTTAATTAGTTATTTTTACTATTTTTTTACTAAATGTTTTGTAATATAACATTGAAAAGGCCAAAAGAGGGCCTCCCTGTAATTTTCTTAACTAAAAGGGTAATTTCTGAAAATACTTTAAACCCTGGGAGCGAGCTCTTTTAATATATTCATGTAGTTATGCCCAACTAATGCAAGAAAGAGAGAGATACCTTTGCACGCTTAACAGGACCAGAATCTTCTTTCTTCGTTCGGTTCCAGGAAAAAACCCAATTTATTTGGGGTAATCGATGACAAATTCAAAGAAAGTTTCCAAAATCTTGATCAGTTCGTAGCCATTTTGCTTTTCTCTTGCCAAAGGAAAGAAGATTAAATGTTTTGATTGTTTATTCATCGTATTAATTCGCATTCATCGTTCAGAGCCGAACAGAATATTCGACCCGTTGAAAAACCCTAATAAAGCTCTTGTTTTTAGTCCCCGAAAGCGTGATCGATCATCTTTGTTTGATACATTGCTTTCCGTGATAATTTGAGGTTAGTTTTTTATTACTATCGTAATATATATTATGCAAACGGGGGTACATGATTTACTTAGTAATTTGGTGATTTTCGTTCATAACTGTGGTGCAATTTGATAAACTGTGATGTTGAGAAGAAATATGAATGGCATGTGCCTTTTAAGTCGCGCCAAATGCGTGTTAATTTGGTCTGTTTTATGGTATTTTTGCATTGGATCGGAGAGTAATAGATATCAGAGAGATTAATTTAGTAGTTATTACGGTCCTCCATCCATTACATATAAATAAGGGAAGAAGGCCATACGCCTTGATCATTGATGCCAAATATGATACCATTCAAATGCAAGATTGATGCGACTAATTACAAGGTTCGTATGGACTTATCTATAGTTGGTTTTTATGAAGTTCAATATTAGTTGGAGTCTTTTTCTTATTAAAGGTACTAATACGTATCCTTCAAATTGAAACATGACCATTTAACATCGGAAGTCAAAATTCAGAGGCAGCATATAGAGTGTGTTAACATTTTGGTGGCAGTGAATTTGATGATTAGCTGTTTATATGAACATATTGTAAATCTACAGCTGTAGTTGTGGAAACTTGTACTTGCACAGAAAGACAAACCTGAATCGTTTTTGTATATTGGGAAAAAAAGTTCTTCAAAGTTGCTCTGAGACCAGGAATACCCTGTTCAAGATTGAGCTGCTTTTATAAAAATTCATGCTGCAAGCATAAGTTGCAACCTCTTATCAATTAGATCCTTTACCCATATAATAAAACAATTCACATGGGCACATGTTCTTCAGTACGCCTGTGAATACTCCGCTGGTATTTTTTTTAGAATTGAGAAAACAGAAGGAGATGTAAGGATCGGTACATAGAATAACTTTTTATTTGATGTGTACTTCCTTTGTGAGAAAAACCAAACCTGTCATATTCAGAAGTCAGAACTGTGAGAAACAAGAATAGCCAACTAGGAAAGAAGGCGATCTGGCATACGAATTCAAGCAGATGCTAAATGATGTGTCCTTTTACCCTTTTTTATTGATAAGAGACATGAAATCTAACCCCAAAATTCAATCCTTTATAAAAGTGTAACCTGTCATCACTAAAGTGCTAAGTGGTGAAAATTGCAATGATGAAATTCATCAAAATGCATCATAAAATTTATGCATGGTGCTAGTTTTTTACTAAGAACAGGATTCGAATCCAGGCTTTTTCAAGCGGCAAAATCTTAAGCGTAGCATCTTAAACCAACTCAACTACCTTAAGCTTCTTGGATGGTGCTACTTTTGACCATCCAATATTGATTTTTGCTTCTTGTTGATCTGCATGCTACATACATATTTTCAATGTAATTGATTCCATTACAGGTGTGCTGTTCACTTCTAGGTGGTTCATTTTTTTTCATGATTAGAAAATCTATCTTCTTCTGGGTGCTGGATTTCTGAGTTGTTGAAGTAGAGGCAAGAAGAAAATTGTGCAAAACCATTATTTGTTGCCTATGGGTCTTGATGAGGGGCGGCCTAAGTTCTTTCCAGTAGAAGCTCTTTCTGCTGGTCGATATTTGTACAATATAAGTTCATTGGTTGACAGTTCGCCCCATCATTCTAGACACTGGTACAGACCTGGAAGTGTTGCTCTAGAAGAAACTTTTAGTTGCATTTCGAAGTTTACTGGCACTGTACTGCAATGGTGTGCTAGTGGGTCAAATTCAAATATCAGCCACAAAGTATCTGACTGTTCTCATGGTTCTTTCCCTAAAAGATGTGAATTTTCTCAAACCAGTTATGTCTTTAGCACTAAGCTTGATCTCCCAAGAATTTTCTGCAATTATAGAAAAAATGCACTTCAGATTCCCGAATTTTTTAACAAGTTCTCGAGGTTTGCTATAAGGCAGCTGCTGGGAAGAGCAAAAGAGCTTCAGTTCATTCCTGCATTATCCTTAGCTGGTAATTTAGTACCACCACTAGACAATATGTGAGCTCTCTTTCTTATCAGAATTCATTCAGTCATCCTTTATCAGCTTAAATTTTATAGATGAGAAACGCTCTATATTTGTTTTAACATCCTGTGGGCTTTGCTTTTTTTTTGTTCTTCTTTTCTTTTGTTGTTTCTGGGAATCAGATATAGGAATTTTCTCGCTGTTTCACATGAAAATGGCAATGCAGTAGTGGAGAGATCATTGAATCATAGTCCGTGTGAGGTTGAGCAAAGGAGGTGTGGTGATCTTCATTATGAAAATTTTAATTGTCCGGCACATGCAGTTGAACCAAGAACTGGCATTGAGTTCCCAACTATATTGGATAACATCTTTGAAGGGAGTAATACCAGTTTAAATATGGAGGTTGATCCTTTTAACTCCATTTTCCGTTGCTATGGATCCTTCTGTTTAGTTTTTGTGTGTGTAACTGTAGCAGATAAAAACTAGAGTTAGCTTACAGGTCTCCCCCTGCAATATAGACTTGCCCCGTAAGAACGCAAGAGAAAAAGACAAAGCAGGACTCCTTATCGATGTTAGGTGCCACTGTATAAAAAAGCTTCTATCAGTTGTTTCCTTCTAACTACTACTTTTCAAATTTTACATCAAGACATGTTAAATGGTGTGCACAATCATGCTTTATGTTCTGCCGTCTTCTTGGCCAAGTATGAAGATCCCTCTGTCCCATAAAAATATCACTTGCACATTTTCGTTTTCTGTGCTAAATGAAAATTACCTTCTCCAATCTTGAAACTATTATTGTTCTTACAATCTTGATATTAACCTTCATGACATCTATCACAAATTAGCTAGATAAAAGTATTCTGAATGTTATGTCATCAATTCAGGAGAGGTACTCAAATGATGCAATCGTTATGTTTTAGTTTTTATGTTTTTCTTGTAGAGAACATCATAAATTGTATGATGTCATTTCCTTACATTTCTAGTTGTGGTGCTTAGTGTTGGGATAGAGGCAGGGATGGAGGAAGATTGTTGGGGCAAGGGTGAGCCTTGGGTGCCCTGGATTTCTATATGTGTTGTTCGTCCTTTTTGATTTTATAAAGTTATGGTTTGCCCCAAAATTTATATTTTAATAGAATCCAACGTTTTTCTTTGAAAGATCATAAAACACATTTAATGTGGAAGATGATGTTACACTAAGTTTGCCACAAGTTGTGAAACTTGTACATCATCAAACTCTGATATTTTTGTTGGATAAAACTTTCTCCATTATTACAGAACTTCTCTTTCTTTCTTTTTCTTATGGGTTGATCTGGGCAGTTAATTGCACGCTATAGCGGTTAGCAGTCATTTGGGAAATAGCAGTCTGCAAATAGTGGCTTGGAATAGCGGTATCGCGAATTGCGGCGCTAAACCCCGTAATTTGATCTGAAATACCGGTCGATAATAGTGCTATTTCTTCCCTGGTAATTTTTTTTGTTTTTGGGCTAATTTGAGTGGGCTGTTTTGTTTGAGACCCAAGTTACTTTCATTTGACACAAAGTTTAAGACTTTTATTTGACCCAAACTTTAACATTTTTATTAGGTTAAACTTAATAGAACTCGATAAATTCCAAAGTCGGACTAATTTTGTATATCAGCAATGCCACTAGGATCACTTGTCTGCAGACTCTACTTCAATCTACGATTCTACCCCTCAATCGAACTCCCCTCCACTCTCCAGACTCTACTAGCCACATTACTATTTTGTTTTCACCCATTGTCCCATACTCCCATTCTCCCATACTCCTATTTGTTGTTTTGTTTTCTCAGTTTATAAAACATAATTGTGTAGCTATAGTTTTTAGTTTATATAGATAATTGTATAGCTCGGTATTGTTTAGCCCATTCAATTTTTTGTTTTCAATGTTAGGCATCTTATTAATTTTATTTTTATTAGGGCAGTAAGTACTAGTGTATATATATATATATATATATATATATATATATGTTAATATTTATTTTATGAATGTAATTTTTTTTATGGCGATAACCGCGATTTCAAACCACTGTCCCCACCGCGATTTCCGCAAGAGACCGCGTTAACTGCTTAGGGGTTGATGATACAAATGCTGAGATTTCCATAAATAGCCCAATTGCATAACTCCAGATTGATCCGCCGATATACACTACATAACTATCTTTACTTCCTTATTAGTGAGATTGGACTTCATGGTTGGAGTATTAGCTAGCATTTTCCTCTAAGCTTTCTTGGTTCCATCCTTGCTGAAATTCATATTTTCTTGCTGCTTCTATGATTCAAGACTCTGTTCATTCTTCAAACAGTGGTGGTGCATTTTAGCACATTTTTTATGGCGAAGATATGACAACTCCACCAAACCTGTTGGAGAGTTAGAAATGATCTTTTCTGAACATCCATTGAAGTAAAATTATACAGTTGCAAGTGTCTTTTAGTAAATCAATACATAGCCTATAGTGAGGGGGACTGAAAATTAGAATCTAATTAATTTTAGTTCTCAAAAACAAGTGACAAACATTTTCTATTTATCCTTTAACAAGTAGGTGATGGATAGGTGTGTAGGAGGCATCTTCAGATCTTCTTGTCTTCAACAGTTACAATTTTTTTTCTCTATACTTCTCTGCAAATGTGAATAGTTTGCAACTTTTCTCTGATTTCCTCATTATTCACAAACCTTAGCTGTTCTCAAATATGATTGGTAATTCTATTTTCTGTCTTTTCGGTTTTACTTTTTCCAGATTTTCTGCTATAATTGAGGTATATAGCAATTTAATACCTGCATGTGTTCACGCATTCTGGTTATTATAACATGGTTAAGTCGATAGATGCTTTATTTTTATTCTTTGAATGTTAGTTATTGCCATGATAGACAACTTCATTCTCGCTACTGTAATCATGTTATTGATAATATGCATTAGAAAATGTGGACTGTTTAACTTCACATTTTGGCACGTCCAAGAAAACTTTTCTGCCTTCACGCCGACACACCTTATAAGTTGATTAGCTTTTAAGATAATTGTAAAGGCCTATTCAGTATGGGATTTGTGTGGTGTGTATGTACAATATGTATAATTCGCAGGTTATTAAACAGGCATATGCCAATGTTACGCATAGATCATGCCGAAATTTTGGTAGAAACGTTATCCTGAAACGGGTGTTATAAGTTTCTTCAAAGTCTGGCGATTTTGCTCAGTTTTAGTTAATCACATCTTAACATATGTAGAATATGTGAAAACTTCCTTTCAGGCATGCTTATCAATGGCAATACACGTCTCTATACTTTGTGACACTTACTTTCATGTGTTATAAATGCTTTTTGACTCATTGCTATGTGATTTTAGGTTGTAAAGCCAAATCATTGTTCTTTGGTTCTCTTTTCTATGCTTTCCTGTTATTAATATTAGTCTGAGCAACCTCAGTCTGTGTTTCAGGTTCTTGTTGGAACTGGATCGAAAACAATGAAAATTGTTAAAATAAAATCTTTGAAGCTCTATGCTTTTGGTTTTTGTAAGTATGCTCAAAAGCTAACTTGAAGTTTCATTTGTAGTGTTCCAGCTTGTAACTCTTATTACCTAATATTTCTATAGATGTTCACCCTTATGATGTCTGTAACAAGTTGGCTTCAAAATATGCTTCTCTTCCTGAGAATGAGGTGGACAAGCAACACAAGTTTTTTTCTGATCTTCTCAGGTATGCCACCATAACTTTTTCCATTATGGTATCTATGCTTCCCCGGAGTCACATACATGAAGTATTACCCGGTATAATGTTTTTCAGTTACCACAAGTTATGGCCAGGGTATGATAGTAATTGCAATAATAGACATCCTAAAATATCATGTGTATACAGTGTTATGGAAAACCTTGAGCTATTGTGTGTGAATTTCGATAATGTTTTTTCTAATGACCATTATATGATTAACTAAGGTTGGTGATTATCAGAAAACATAATTGAGTTTCTGCTATATATGAAGAACTAGAACTGCAGAAATGGTATCCAAACAGTCTCTTTAAATTCTTTCTAGATTTTGAAGTGGTCTCTTTCATTTGAATGGAGGGAATATTTGGAAATTGTATTCTTGAGTTATAGATAGAGTACAAAATCAAGTAAAGGAAAGCAACCTTCAAATATATTTTCTTCAAGAGTTTGATTGTACCACTGATCAATCATTAGAAAATAAAGAGAACACATGATACAATACCAAGTAACATACAACCCATCAGCTCAAAATATTTGATATATCATATGAAAGAAGCTGCTGCATGTACTTCAAATTTTCACATGCAAAATGGGAACTGATGGATGGTTCTTTTTCTAATCAATTGTTAAAATTTTCTGTTGGTTAATGTTTCATAATCAAGTCTTTGATGTGGTGCTGCAGGGAGGACATAAGCATGACCATTAGGCTTGTGGTCAGCTGCAATGGGATTAAAATCAGTACTGTTAGAGAGTGAGTTCAATGTCTATAACTTCCTTTTTTCATAGTATTGTTAACTCCCACTTTGGATGAGATGAGAATATATATATATATATATATATAGACTTGAGATCATGTGAGACCAGCCTGTTTTCGTGAGACCCGTGAGACCAACATTTTACACTTGAAACTTCACAGCAAAATGCTGTGAAGGTGACTTTTTAAAACCTTCACAGTGTTTTTGCTGTGAAGGTTCGACTTTTTTTAAACCTTCACAGTGTTTTTGCTGTGAAGGTTACGTGTAAAAATGCGGTCTCACGGGTCTCACGAAAACAGGCTGGTCTCACGTGAACCCAACCCTATATATATATATATATATATATATATATATATTTGTTAAAGTTACTATATTGATTGATGCCTCTTGTGTAAATGAGGGAATGTTGTATAAGTTCACCGGTTACTAAAACCTGAAAAAAATGAAGAATGATTTATTCTCTGAGTCCTAATTTTGTTTTTTGCAGTGCTTTTGAGAAATCACTTAGAGCCCGATTAATTAAGGTGAAACATCATCAGAGATTTCATATTTGATAGTATTATAATAGCCATATCCATCAGGGACTTTTTATTTATTTATTTCTTACAGATGAACCCTGACACTGATTATGACTGCTTAAGAAGTTTTGGTTCCCTTTTCTCGGAGGATATTCCAATACAAGCGGTAATCAGTTGTTCTATATATTTTGTTATGCTGCATAGTTGTACTTGGTTCTATCATAAAGATGATACATGCTCACAATCTTCAGGGAACAACAATAAACTTCCAAAGAACAGCTGATGGACATCTTGTTACCGAGAGTGAGTGTCTCACCGTAATGAATGCTTGACGTATATTCATCTCGCTTAATGCTCAAAAGGTCTGGCCTGTTCTTTGGACCAGGCCAGCTTATATGGTTGTTTAGGAGTCACCATGCTGAAAAAGGGCTGATGGCCTGATGCGGACTGGACCCAGAGGTCAATCGGTCAACAATGCTTTCATCTGGGATGGACTTTGGTTGGCCCTATCGATAAAAACACTGTAATAAAAAGATAGTGAATCAACAATCTTACTTTTTAAAATTTGAATAATGCCTTAGCCTTTCTTTTCTTGATTTTATGCAGTTGAAGGCAATAAGATCGGTGCAGTTCATAGTAGGGATTTGTGCAGTAAGTCATTTGTTCTTGTTTTATTCGTCTTTCTTTTACAAGATAAGAAGAATCCCTCGTTTTGATTCTTCAAAATCGATCACTTTTGATGAATCTTGAAACTCAACCGAAATATCGAATGGATAGATGATAAATTTGGATTGTTGTATTCAGGGGCTTTCTTTGACATGTACATCGGAGATGGTCCCGTCTCTGAGCAGACAAAAACGGAGATTGGACAAAATGTCGCAAATATAATGAGAAGCTGCTAATTGCTCCTCCTTTCTAGCATTTCGAATGATTCAGAATCCAATATTGTGTTCCAGACCCTACTTTCGAGTGAGGCATATTGGGTTGGTTTGAAGTTTTATATTGTGGCATGTGTTTTCAAGCAGCAAAGTACAAAAGGGCTATGGTTAATGTCCATAGAGTTGAATGTGTTTCTATAGTGCGTTTGTTGAACTGTTTCTATCTCGAAATATACATAGCTTCTCATGAAAATAATGGTATGATGTTCTACAGAATCGACAACGTGGTGATGCATATGTTTGTTAAGTATATAATATTTATATACTACAAATTAAACTCACACTCTCCTCGCTAGTGGCAAGACTTGAACCTTTTACCTCTAAAAAGTTTGGATTACAAGGTAAAGTTAGGCTAAAGGCTCTTTGGTTTATTGTCATGTTTTACTTGCCTTTAGTAACTACGACACTAACTCACCTTCATGTTGTGGTTTATGAAGGTGAGGGAAACACGAACCACTCTAATGTCATTGTGTTAGCTAAAAGTTGATTATTTATCAAGTCAACGATATTGTGTTAATTATACAACGGCATTCGAAAGCTTAAGACCACCTCAGAACATGTCGAAGGATTTTTGACCTACTGCTACTTAGGTCCGGTAGCCCCTGCTCTATACTCCATCAACATAACCGGCCGATCAAGACTATGGTGGTGTTTGGGATTGTTTATTTGAAACAACTTATGTTTTTCATATAAAAAACACCTATCAACTTATTATAAGTCGGAAAGGTTTAACTTCTTCAAAAACTTCTTATTACCGGTTTGACACTAGTATAAGTTGTTTATCCAAACATTCAAAAGTGTTTATTATTGGTGCCACACCAGAATAAGTTAATAAGTTGTTTTCATAAGCAATCCAAAACACTCCATATATCTGACATACTAACTAATGGCTAATTAAACAAGATCAATTCAATAAACTAAAAAATTAGTGGTTTATTATTGCCAAACACGTTCAAAAGACTAGTATGAAGCATGTTAGGCTTAACGATTTGGGGTGATTAAAACAAGCATTTGTTTAAGGTCAAATTAAATTAAGTAGATATATATTTTAATTGGGCTTTTAACTTGGTGATTGAATTTTAAAAGTATAGTCTTTTTTTTAAAGGTAGATGTAGGGGTCGTTTACCAAAAATTTATTCAATAAGTGTTTATCGGTAATATTTAACACTATTACTTGCTTATCGAGTAAGATTTTAGTCCACCAAAACAACACAATATGTAATAATTTACCAGATAAGCTCTTACCGTGGTAAGAGTTGTCGTCTTCACTTACTGGGTAAGACTCTTGTTCCTTGTCTCGCTCTTACCGGGTAAGATTTTTGGTCCTTGCCACATTCATCTCGTAAGGTAATGTAACATGGTAAGCGCTTACCTGAGTAAGCGTTTGATCAACGTCCCCGAAAATATCTAATTATTTTTTCTAAAAGGCCGTTTACCGAACGCTTACGCGAGTAAGAGCTTACCAAGTCATGTTATAGCAAGAGCCATGAATCTTGCTCGGTAAGAGCGAAGACAATGACCGAGAGTTTTACCTGGTAAGTGATGACAACGACGACTCTTACCACGATTACCGCTTACCGAGTAAGCGTTTGGTAAACGGCCTATAACTTTACTTCTGAATGAGACATAATTGAGACCCAAAATTTTGTAAAAAGCTAGATTAAGTTCAAAATCAACAAAATCTTTAATTAGTGAATAAAAAATATAATAAACAAATATGTTAACCGGTTGGATTTTGAGAATATAAATGGAATATTTAAAGAAAAGACTTGGTTTTAGCAATTTTCAGGTTTTCTGTATTCATACAAGACGTTTTTGTTTTATATGAACATATAAATCCACATCCTCTTAATAAGATGATATGATTTTTTCCAAAAAATCAGAAGATATTTATATCATTAACAACTGCTATTGTTCAAATAAAATCATTATTGTATGTTTTAAACGTGCACGAGACACCATGTTTAATTGTTTGTGTATTATGGTTGTTTGACAGTTATTGAATGGTTTGGTGTAAAACAATTAAGTGGTCAGAATGATTAAGAGACTCTGATGAGAATGCTGAATGGTTGAGGGGGACACATGATACAAAATCATATAGAGGGTTTTAAAGACATTTTTTTTTTGTCAAACAAGATTTATCGTTTAACGATTCAGATGTTGGCTTTTAAGAGATAAACAAACAACCCTTAGAATAGGTCAAACAAAGATCTTGGAAGATTCAAGAATCATATATAATTCCAACAAACTTTAGGGTTGAAAAAAAATATACTTGTAATGGAGATGCAGGGTATCAATCCCCGTGCTTCTCGCATGCTAAGCAAGCAAGCGCTCTACCATCAAAGCTACATGCTCTTTTACCATCTTATTATGTTGTCTTAAAAGTTAAACTACATTTTTGGTCCCTAGTGTTTACACCCAATTCCGAAGACCGTCCCTGGACTTGGATAAATATAGTCATTGTCACAATGGTTTACATTTTGCTTTGAAAATACTCCTCAACTTAACTATGTTAATTTTTTTCAGTTATGTTAGGGATATTTTTCTCTTTTTAAATAAATAATTTAGTTTGTATATTAAATGTTTTTGTCATTTTAAATAAAAGCATAGTTGTCCTAAATATCTATGAACTTGCAAGATTGGCTAATGATTGTTCTGAAATAGTCATGTCGATGCTAGAAAAGTAAAAGAGATGGAAAAGGTAAGGGCAATGATTGACTAATTAAATGAAATTTTAGTTGGTATTAAAAAAAAGGGTGGGCTAATGGCACCCGAGGGTTTACCAATGACACCCCTAAAGCTTAGTTCATCATTTTGTTTTTTTTTTGTTTTTTTGTTTTTTTTGCTGTTTTTACTTTTTATTTTTTTCTATTTAAATTATTAATTAATTTTTTTACTTTATTATTTAATTATTTTATTGTTTTATTATTTAAATTA